AGGTCTCGCCAAGTTGCCCAGGCTGGTCTTGAAACCCTAGGCTCAGGCAATCCTCTCGCCTCTGCCTCCCAAAGTGCTGGGATTACAGGCGTAAGCCACCATGCCCAGCTCCAGGAGTCATTTTGATCTAAAGGTCTGGAACTAAAAGGAGAGACAGATACAAGCTAGAGACATTATTAGCTTTAAACATAGTATTACATGGAAGAAGAGGACAAAGTCATAGGTAAGACTGCAAGAGTATAATATTGGAAAATAACTATCAATTTAATAACTAGCTGAATATATTACAAGCAGTTTAGTAAGAATGACAGCAAGAAAAAAACAGGAGAATACATGATATGATAGAAGCCAAGGGAAAAAAATAGTTTAAAGTAGAAGAAAATGGTCAAACAAAATCAAATGTAGCAAACAAAACCTGAATAAAGATGAGTGCATTTATCAACAGAGAATTCACTGATAACAATAGCTAAAACAAAGTAGAATGATAGAGCAATCATATTTCAGTAACTGGTCAGAAACTGGAATATAAGGAAGTTATATATATATTTACGATTTTGAAACCTTATTATCAGAGGTAGGCAAATCTGTTCTATAAAGGGACAGATAGTAAATATTCTAGGCTTTGCAAGCATCATATGGTCTCTGTCACTGTCACATACTCTTACATACACACAAAAACAGGCCACAGGCCAGATTTGGCCAACTCTTGTCTTAAAACAATTTTTACTCTCAAATCAAGCATTTGGAGACACAGTCTGCATATAACTAAATAATATTTTCACACATGAAGATAATGCTATTTCTTGGAGCATGACTCAAGTTGTTTTTCTCCCTTCAGTGACAGACATAATTTTTTTTTTGAAGTTGGAATCTCACTCCATGGCCCAGGTTGGAGTGCAGTGGCATGTATGCTCACAGCCACCCCAGCTGCTGGGCTCAGGTGATCCTTCTGCCTCAGCCTTCGAAGTAGCTGAAACTACAGCTGCGCGCTACCACACTCGGCCAATTTTTTAAAAATTTATGGTAGAGATGAGACCTTGCCAAGTTGCCCAGGCTGGTCTCGGACCCGTGGCCTCAGGCAATCCTCTCAGCCCAGCCTCCCAAAGTGCTAGGATTACAAGCATGAGCCAATGTGCCCAGCCAACAGAGAGACTTTTATGTTATTAAGTCTGAACCATTCTCTTGATCTATTCAAACCAAAAGTTCAACATGTAATCCCAACAGCTGCTGTCTGTTTCAAAAAAAACACACCTGACCCTTTCAGTTAACAATTCCTTCAGACCCTGGACTCCAAAGGAACGTTAATGGTAAATTCCCAATCATCCAAGGGTAGATTTAAACTGCTTCTAGATAATGAGGGTAAAAATATTACAATTTGTGTCCAACTGTTTAAATCAAGATGATTAAGCTGAAGTTGGAGAATCAAGTATTAAAGATGGCATCCACTAGTTGCAACTAAAGAGAAAATCACAGCAAAAAGTATAAAGTGAAAAAAACTTTCCAGCCAAGTACGTTGACCCATGCTTATAATCCTAGCACTTTAGGATGCTGAGGCAGGAGGATTGTTCGAGTCCAGGAATTTGAGACCAGCCTAGCCAACCTCATCTCTACAAAGAAAAATAAAAATAAAAAAATTATCTGGCGATGGTGATGCACGTCTGTAGTCTCAGCTACTCAAGAGGCTGAGGCAGGAGGATCACTTAAGCCCAGGACTTTGAGGCTGCAGCAAGCCAGGATCATACCACTACACTCCAACCTAAACAAGAGACCCTCTCTCAAAAAGTAAAAAATTTACAAAATTTTTCCATTACAATAAACTCTGTACAGTGAATAGCATTCATTCTCCCTGCAAAAACAAAAGGAAAGCACTAACTTACCCATAGACAAGGCAAGGGGAATTTACAAGAACGGGAATCCCAAATGCAAAGAACAGTAGCTGTTAGTGGGATACAATTTACTATCTGTTCATGCTATCTTATTATCTTTAAGTAAGAAAGTAGTGGGCAGAGACTTACTTTCACTACACTTGGGTTCTAATGTTCAAAATAAGGCAAGGCTGGGCACTGGCTCAGCCTGTAATCCCAGCACTTTGGGAGACCAAGGTGAGTGGACTGCCTGAGCCCATGCGCTCGAGACCAGCCCGGGCAACTTGGCGAGACCTTGTCTCTACAATAAATAAAAAATTAGCTGGGTGTGGTAGCGTGTGCCTATAGTTCTGGCTACTTGGAAGGCTGAGGCGGAAAGATTGCTGGACCTCAGCAGATCGATGCTGAGATGGCTGTGAGTGTGCCACTGCACTCCAACGTGGGCGACAGAGTGAGACTCCAACTCAAAAAAAATAAAAAAATAAAATAAGGCAAGTTCAAATAAAAAACAACAGCATTATGCACAAGAGTCAAGATATGGAAGCAACCTAAGAATCTGTGGACAAATGGATATAGAAAACAGTACATACAGTCAACCCTCTGTATCTGCTGAGGATTGCCTCTAGGAAAACCCATGGATGTTCAAGTCCCTGACATAAAATAGTGTAGAATTTGCGTATTACCTATGTACACCCTCCCATATACTTCAAATCATCTCCAACTTACTTATAATATCAAATACAATGTAAAAGCTATATTTAAATGTAAATGCTATATGCAAATACTATCTAAAATTTAATACAAACATAAATGCTACATGTAAATGCTTATAGCTATTATACCAATTGTTTAGGGAATAATGACCAGGAAAAAAGTTTATATGTGCAATATAGATGCAATTTTTTTTCCTGAATATTTTCAATCTATGGCTGGCTGAATCCACAGATAAGAAACTCAGGGATACAGAAGACCAACTGTGTATTTTTTCAATGAAATACTATGCTGCCTTTAAAAAGAAATCCCATCAGTGGTAACAATATAGATGGGCCTGGAATATATTATACTAAGTGAAATAAGCCAAACAAGAAAAACAAAAACTGCAAAGTATTCATAAAAGTAGAGAGTAGAGGTGATTGCCAGAAGGTGGAGGGAAATAAGAAGATGCTGATCAGGAAGTACAAAGGAGCCGGGCTCGGTGGCTCAGCCTATAATCCCGCGCTTTGGGAGGCTGAGGTGAGTGGATTGCCTGAGACCGCGGGTTCGAGACCCGCCTGGGCAACTTGGCAAGACCTCATCTCTACAGTAAATCAAAAAATTAGCCGGACGTGTTAGCACGCGCCTGTAGTTTCAGCCACTTGGAAGGCTGAGCGGAAGGATCGCCGGAGCCCAACAGGTCGAGGCTGCGGTGGCCGGGAGCGGCCACTGCACTCCAAGTCTGGGTGACGGAGTGAGACTCCAACTCAAAAAAAAAAAGAAGTACAAAGGTTCATTTATGCCACATGCACTTTTTGAAAAAGAAAAAGTAATCATGATATTTTAAGAAATAATAACCTTTGGCTTGTTTTTTAGTTGGGCAAATTCATAAATATTAGACATAAATAAGCTTACTTTAAATCTACATGTACCTTATTTTGGTAAGTTTTGTTTATGCTATTATTTGGGGCTATTTCTCTCCCTTTTCTCAATTACAGTTGGCCCTCCATACCCACTGGTTCTGAATCCACAGATATGAAGGGTCAACTGAGGGACTTGAGTATCTTCAGATTTTGGTATCCTGGAACCAACCTCCCCCTACATACACAGAAAGCTGACTGTAATCCTAAATTGCCTATACAGTTAGCCCTTCATGTTTGAGGATTCTATATCCATGGACAAAATCAACCACAGATCCAAAATACTCTGTGGGAGGAGAGAGGCAGGGAAGAGAGAGAATTTCACAAGGTTTCACAAAAACCAAAATTTGAATTTCTTACACACTGAGTATAACACTGAATTCATGCAAATGAAGGGATATGTAGGCATTGTATTAGGTATTATAAGTAATCTAGAGATGATTTAAAGTATACAAGTGGATGTGTATAGGTCACATGCCAATACCACACCACTTTATATAAGGGACTTGAGCACTGTCAGCTTTTGGTATCCACAGGTGGTCCCCCATGGATATCAAGGACCATTCTAAATATCTATGAATAAAAGATCCCCATTCTGATAAGTTATTCAACTAGTCTACAATTATGGATCCTGAACACAACTGATATTCATTATAGAAAAATGATTTGTCACTGCACAGAAAGAAAAACCAGCTTAGTATACCTTACAGTGGTTTACACTTATCAATGTCTATAGCAGGGGTCCCCAACCTACAGGTCACACAACAAGTGAGTGGCAAGCAAGCCTGCAAACCTTCATCTGTATTTACAATCCCTCCCGATAACTTGCAGTACCCACCTGAGATTCACCTCCTGTCAGATCAGCAGCTTTAGGTTCTCTCAGGAGCATGAATCCTAACTGTGAACTGCGCATGCAAGGGATCTAGGTTGCATGCTCCTAACAAGAATCTAATGCCTGTTGATCTGAGGTGGAGCTGAGGTAGTGATGCCAGCTCCAGGGAGCAGCTGCAAATACAGATTACCATTAGCACTAGCCGAGCTCGGTGGCTCAGCCTGTAATCCCGCGCCTTTGGGAGGCTGAGGT